GTACAGTTATCAGTGAATTATTGGGTTAATTTACAAGGCCATAGTCAAGAGCACCCAACACTAGATACTTTAAAGCCCTGTTGGGAAAAAGAGAGGAGGAAAATTAAAAGTTTTGGTTGGGCAGTGATACAGAAAGCAACAGAACTTGAAGTTAATCAGTTAAATGTTAGTCCAACTGTACCGCTACCTGTAATAAAACCTTGGTTACTTTCAGATGCTACAGTAGATTTTACATTGTTAGAACAGAACAATAAAGGTAAGGAATGTAATTTATATAATGTGCAGGAATATATTAATGAGTACTACAGCTATGTTCAGATCTATACAGATGCATCAAAGAGTTTAGACAATAAGGTAGGAGTAGCGTTTACTGTTCCAGAATTTCATTTATCATCAGTGATGAGTTATCAGTTTATACACATGGGGAAATGATCGCACTATTATTAGCAATACAGTGGATAGAAGAGATAAGAAACATTTGAAATCAATTGTTTATTCAGATTCATGTTCATCTTTGGCTAGTTGACAGTACAGTCACTCGGAAAGTAGACCAGACATTTTAATGGAAATAATGCAAATGTTATATAGAAGTCAAATGATGGGGAGTACAGTGGTATTTGTATGGGTGCCGGCGCATATTGGTGTCCAAGGACATGAAACTGCAGATAAAGAAGCAGTTAAAAACAACGACATTAACTGAATTGTTAATCTAAGTAAGAATGAAATCAAGAGTATTATTAAGAAAAGACTGAAGGAAAGGTGGCAAAAACAATGGGGTAAGGAGGAGAAAGGTCGGTGGTTTTACAGAGTTCAAAGGAAAGTGGGAGAGAGGAGATCGTAATATCGAGGATGAGATTTAGTCACACAAGATTAAAGAGTACACTTTTTAAAATGGGTCAACATGATACGGGAAGGTGTGAATTTTGTGGACAAGAAGAAACAGTGGAAGATGTTATATTGTACTGTCAGAAATACGAGACTGAAAGAAGGATGCTAATGCAAAATGCAATTTACACCGAGATATATTTTAACAAAATAACTCAAGGAATGAATGCTAGGTTACACTTTACTTGAAGGGGTGTGCATAAGACTGACATGACACCTTCATAATCATGACATGACACATTGTTTATGTACTTTTTAATGCAAAAATGACATTGTTTGAGATGTCTTTGTTATGGGCTACGGTTAGGGTTAGGGTTAGGTCAAATAATCTCATATTTGCATTAAACATGGCATAACTGAGTGAAAGACACTTAATGACAGTTGTCATAAACATGCATAAAACCTCCTTCATGTGTCATGATTATGAAGGTGTCATGTCAGTCTTATGCACGTCTTATTCAAGTAAAGTGTTACCGAATGCTATAGTTTTATTTTTTTCAGTTCCTTAAAATAACTAATTTGTGGGAGAGAATTAAAACAAAAAAGGAAGGAAGTAAGTCACTTTTTGATCTCCATGCCAGTTGGTGGCGGAAATACACCCTTTTGTAAATACAATTTCAAGAAGAAGAAGAAGAACAACAACGAAAGTGTCGATGTTTGCGTGTTTACATCTCAAACCAATCACTGTTCATACGTAAAGCCTGTAACTATTGAGAGAATGCGCACATTTTGAGCAAGCGTCCGCTTTCTTTTTCAGTCGGTCCAAAGTCGGATGGATGTTTGTGATTAGAGGGTTTGCAGATTATAGAAGAGAGAGTCATGGCGATAGCGCACGCCGCCACAGAGTATGTGTTCTCGGACTTCGTGCTCAAGGAGCCCGCGACAGAGAACAGGTACAAAGGCATCCGGCTGGATCTGGCGCTGGATAAGATGGTCACCTGTGTCGCGGTGGGGCTGCCTCTGCTGCTCATCTCTCTGGCCTTCGCGCAGGAAGTGTCTGTCGGTATGTCACTTTCTCACGCGCATCATGAGATATTATGCTTAAAAGTCATATGTTGTTTGTTTCGTTTCTCAAGAGTTTCACTTCACACTCATTTCTAACTGGTGATGCGGATTTATTCATTGTTCAGGCAGGCATGGCCTGAACTGCATTTCTTCTTTGGAGGATTTTAGGTCAATTAGTAAGGCCTTTTTTTTTAGTTAAGCAGTACAAAATTATTAATAATCCATCTTTTAATATCATGTATACAGTCCGGTAGTTTAGAGAATTGGAAGGTTTTATGAGGCCTTGAGAAAATATAAAGGATTGTCGATAGCTATGTTTCCATCACGCTGTATGCACATTTTGAAGTATCGCATCAGAAACGAGTGATGGAAACGGCAAATTTCGAATGAAAATTCGCAAAAATGTTTTTACGCTCGCTTAAGGTGGGTTTTGTCTTGTGTAAAAAAGGGTTAATGCACATAAAAGGAGATGGAAATGCATTTGCCGAGTAAATTCCTCCATGCGCATCAAAAAAGTCATATGACTGCGCTATGGGACGGCAAAACCTAACCAGTGGACCAATCTTGTTCCTCAGCCAGCTGAAGTGAATGACAGCTTGGGAGCTCTCGTTGCTCGCTTTCTGTAGCCTATATCATTTTATTTTTAAGATTTATTTTTAATGCTTCTGTAAAGGACTAACGGCCGCATAGCCTACTGCAGAGTTTAAGGGAGACAATGGCACTTAACAGTAAAGTCATATCTAAATATGTTCTTTTCATTTATGAAGATTTAAGTATGTAGTTTATGCACATTTGTTCAAAACAGCTTGGCAGATTGTTCACAAGATGTAGGCAAAAGTTTGTATTGTATACAGGAAGGATGCGCGTTCTTATCGTTCCTCTGTTGCGCTGCTTGTCTATTTCTCTTCAAAGCACCAACTTAAAATGCCTATTTTGGTTTGATTGCTTGTGTTACATGAGAAAATAAATCATTTTGCCTTACTGATGCAGTAGCCTATTTAATGCGGGTGCGGTTCAGGTCGCGGGTCGGGTACAGAATTAAATTGGTGCTGGCTGCTGTCGGATAACGGGTCGGGTGTTCTGTTGTGTAGCTACTGCGGATGCAGGTTTACCTAACAGCACCCGTGCAGGACTCTGCTTTAAACTGCTTTGCGTCTCTCCGTCAGATAACCTCACGTGCATGATGCGCCATTTACGGGGGCTTATTTAAAATGAAAACTCATTCTCTGCCAGCAGGAGGCGCTTTTAGAGTGATACAACTGGTAATGTATATCGAAATATCGGAAATGCGTTTAAAAATCATATCACCGTTATTGAAAAAAATTATATCGCGATACATATTGATATCGAATTATTGTCCAGCCCTAAGTCAGGTTAAATCTCTAAAGTTTGTTAGTGGATATGCAAAAGCTGAAACAATAACAAACATAATTTTATTTTTCCAAACATACAGCAGTCTAAAGAGGTTTAAAAGATTAGTAATTATTTTCGCAATCTCTTTGGTGCTACTAGAGAATTCACACAATTCACCTTCACGTCAAGATTTATCAATAAGATAATCACCTCAAATAGTATTAAAGAATGTTTTTTCCAAATAAATAAATAAATGGAAGAAAATCATGAATGCGTTGTAGGACACATGAGCCCCTAAAATGAACTCCTCTCCTCTCTCTCTGCAGTTTTTCCCTTATATCCTTTTGCTGGTGGCAGTATCAGTTTACATGCCAGCGTTGTTTTGGCGGTTCACAGGAGCTCCTGTGCTTTCTTCTGATCTGACCTTTATAATGGAAGAACTGGACCGTTCCTATAACAGAGCCATCAAACTATCTAAATGCCTTTACACAGCAGGAAAACTGGACTCCGAGTCAGCCCGCATGGGCTCACACAGGTAAACTGGACACACGCACAAAGAGCAGAGAAAATGTCTGACAGTTCTTCTTGACACCTGAAGAGTGACTGGGTTTACAGAGCACACAGAACTGTCACATGGTTTCACTCTGTGGGAGTTATTGAAATACATACGCGCACACTCAAACTAACCTCCCATCAGTATGTTTCTATAAAAATTGCCATATTCACAAATTATATTTCCTTTTCACCATCATCTCTCACCAATCATGCCATTTCCTATTACATACCTATAACATTTAAATCCTGTTATTCTTGCATGTTTTTTCTTTAGCTCTGTGAGAGATCTTACCGAGAGCTACTTTAAATATCCTCTGGTGGAGCAGTACCTGAAGACCAAACGCTTCTCTCGAGGATTACTGATCCGGTACCTCCTCTGCCGCACCATCACTTTCTTGGCCCTCATGTTAGCCTGCATCTACCTTTGCTATTACATCCGTCTCTCCATCACAGATGAGTTTCAATGTGACATTCGAACTGGCGCGGTTATCAACGACTCCTCAGTACCTCCGGCCATGCAGTGCAAGCTAATTGCCGTGGGCATCTTTCAGCTCCTGAGCTACATCAATCTTTGTGTGTATTTGCTGCTGTTGCCATTGTGCTTGTACGCCATGTTGGTTCCATTCAGAAGGACCATGGGCTTCTTGAAACCGTATGAGATGTTACCCACTATAGGGGTAATGCAGTTTGGGCAGGTGACCTGGGATGATCAAGCACTATATCTGCTGTTTCTGGAGGAGAACCTCAGTGAGCTGAAGAGTTATAAGTGCCTAAAGGTGTGTTGATCAGGTTTTGCTGTCTTTGTTGTTGCATAGATTCTGGGAAAGAACCCTCCAGACATTACCTGCTTACTGTATGATACCTATGAAGTCTGCGTTCCAGTTTTGTCATGTCCTTTTGATCACTGTGCATTTGGAGTGGAAAATGTTTATTTAAATTGCCTTTTAATTGGCAGATTTGATTCAGCAGCATACATCAAAAGCTGCTGAGAGGTGCAGTTCTTTATTGAATGTAGCTTTTATCTTACAATCTTCTTGTAATTTTAAATGCCTACATCCAATTACTATTAGAGAGCACCATTCCCTACTTTACAGATGAATTGTAGTAAATTTGTGTTCTTGAATTTATAAGAAATTTCCATGTGACATGAATATAGTTAAGATACTTAAAGCGTTAATGAATTGTATTAATGCATTTGTTTAAATTCATATTGATTACAATATTCAGAGAAATTAAGATATTTTAAAGGCTTAAAAAACCTATTGTGAGAGCTTTTATTTTTCTTCAAGAGATTGTTTTGTAATATTTGTGCTTTATGTATGCAGGTGTTGGAGTTGTTAAAAGAGGGGGGAGACGATTCTTTTGACACCATACAGCTGTTGCAGACACTTGGACAAGTTAAAACAGATGTGGTGGATGGCAGATTGCCAGGAAAGGACCAGAAAATCTCCAGCACCAACAATGGTGACACTGAATTGAAAGGTGTCTTTTTGTTTTTTAGTTTGCTGATCTTTGATTTACATATAAATTCACAGATTAAGACTAGCATTGCCTCTCTGAAGAAGGGCAGCTCATGCTAGTGACCATTTTTTCCTAAGATGTTGATATGTAAAAAGGAAGTGTGTTTCATTGACACATAAGATCACATTGATCTCTGACCCTCTTGATGTAAACGAATGGAAATTTTTATTTCCCTAGAGATATCTCCACTGCTGCAGGACGGCGGATTGAAAAATCATGAAGATGAGAAGGTTGTGCGCCAGAGGGTGATCTGAACTCTCATTGCAGTTTACGGTGACTGCCTGCATCAACATCTGGAACAGATAGAGGAATACATTTTGGGGGAATGGAGGAGAACAGTGGAAGTCTCATCCTTTCATAAATGCATAACTGAGATCCACTAAGACTGCAGTTGAATTCTGTTTTAGTGCTTCTTGTAGTGGGGTTGGGGTATTAACTGTTTTATATTACTTTAATTTTTCACATTTAGTTTAATAGTACCATTCATAGTAACATTTTAACTGCAGAAAATGTGTCTGGCTTGAACAGTTATACTGTTGTTATCACTAATGTGACAACAGTACCTATACTTGACTTGAGAAAACTGACATATTTAGTTGCATGCTCACATTGTCACCCACACAGACAAAAGCTGCCTGTGAGCATTTGCTGATTCTCTCAGTCTGAAATAATGGGAAAATTGGAATAAACTGAAAGAAAATGTTAATCTATGGAGCTTCTTTTTGAAATATGAATTGTGGGAAGAGATGAAAGAAATGGGACAACGGATCATCTTCTGTTTCTGCGAAGATTGATATTGTCAATTTGTTTACCTTTCTGCATCCATGGTTTTTTTTTAATACTTGTGTGAATTATGTTTTGTGTCTGTCTCTTTCCTCTGGAAATAAAGATAAATATTTGCACTAGTTGTGAAATTCTTACCTGTACAGTTGCTAAGTTTACCTTACAGAAAATGCAAAATGTGAATAATTTGAGCAAAATCAGAGGGATCATAAAAATTGCTGCTTGTTTTGAGTACTGCCTTAAATAAACTAGTTCATATAATAGATGTTTACATCTAGTCCACAACAGAAAATAATAGCTCAATTTATGAAATTGAACCTGATCAAAAGTTTGCATATGCTTTATTCGTAATATTGTGTGTTGTTACCTAGATGCACATTCAATAGTTTTTCCAGCATCTTCTGCATATTGGAACCCTTTCGAAACCCACTGCGTCCCGTTTTGTAAAAATAGTGTACCCATACATATTGGCTACTGTAGGTATTTTGTATCTATTGGGTATTCTATTAATACAGGATACATAATTGAGATTAACAAACTGGAAATATGGGGAAGTTATGTACTGCTGTGATTTCTAGAAATTGTCACTATACTTACCTGAAGAAAGTTTTTTTTTCTTCCCATCTGCTGGTTGTAATTTAAAGTGGTGTTTACTTGTTCCATGTAGTTCAGGGTAAGTGCAATAAATATACATACAGAATCCTATATATTTGACTGTGAACCCCTTAGTTTAAAAGTAACTTTCTGAAATATTTCTACATTTTTGGAAATTTCTAAATAAAAATGCTTGCCCAATTTGGGTAATTTTGGCAACCCAGCAGCAGGTCAAAACTGGACAAACCCAGTATTTATGTATGTATGTATTTATTTATACTCAAGTATTGTTTAAAAATTACTATACTGCTGGGTTAAAATTCTAAAATGAACCCAAAATGGGTTGTAAATTAAAAGTTCTTTAACACACACAGAATGACTACAGTAACAATGGAGCCAATATTAATAATCAAAATTCAATTTATTGATATGCAATAACATAAAAAGGACACAAATTTAGTCAATTTTGTCTTAAATGTAAGTTCAGTTCAATTCAATATTCACTATGGCCAAACTTCAGGCTCATAGTGCTGTCAGGATGTTGCTACTCCATTAATAGCCAAAAAATAATATTTGAATGGGGACTATCAAAATATATGGGCCATCGTTCTGTTAGATGTGCTGCAGATCAAATATGAGCACCAACACCACTACACTATATACAGGTCAAACCTGGCCCAACTGCATTTCAGTGTAGATTATTTAAGCCAGCAGTTTTCAACCCCTGCTTCAAAAACATTTTGCAATAGAATGCCCACAGTGTTGCCAAATGTAGTCACAAAATCTGTCAAAGGGGTCTTTTGAGATTCACGCTGATTCACCTCCTGTGGAGAGAAACTTCAGTGAAATCGTTGCCATCCTGATACCAGGAGCATGTCCCCTCATCCCCTAAACTGAGAATTGTTTTTTTCTTTCTGAAAATTGCCCCAATCCTAATGATGAAATTAATTTGACCATGTGGCAAATGAATGTCAGGCAGTTGCTCACAGAAACTTTATTGGATAGGCATATGAGAAGACACATTCTGGACAGCCTCCTCCCTCCTACTCTTAATGCCGGACTCAGGTGGGTCAGGTGTGCCACAACATGTGTACATGCTTGACCTACAAAAGATTATGTCAGTGTCTTTGGTGGACATAAGCTGTACATCTAGTTGAAATGCACAAGAATACATCCGTAGTTATTTGCAGTCACTCCATTTTCTAATGCACAAAGTGGTTGAAAAGAATGGGGCTCCTCAATGTATTCCAACAGATTTACACTTTTGGGCAGAAGTTGGCATCTAAACACCTCCAAACTTCTGTGAAGTACTTAGGGCATGCTATTTTTGCTCAGGGTATACAACCTGACCATGACAAGATATCTGTTATAAAGGGCCTAATTTATAAAATGTGTGTACATACAGATTTGATATTAGAGATTTAATTAGCATATGCTAAAATCCACACCAACGTTCATATTCATAAAAACTTTTTTTGATGTGGAAAAGTGCGTAGCGCCACATCGAGTTCAAAGCAGACTTTACAGTATTAAAGTACTGCAGGTATTTTGAAGTCTAAGAAATTCTTTCTACTTGCAATTCTCAAGAAAAAGATGTAAATGTTGACTTGTGCTCTATAATACATTAATGAGGCATTTAATGAATTAATTAATTAGGCAGTGTTTACAAGGCATCGATCGATACAAAGAAGATTAGCATGGCCCCTGCGAAATGATGACATGAAAAACCCTAAGCGCTCCATCTTTTTTGATTGTGATATTCGTGCTCCTCTACTCTATCAGCCCTTGTGTGGTGAATAAACACAGGTCTCAGCGTGGGAGCGTTTAATTGTAAAATAACTCACCGTCTCCTTTGGTTTAGAGATGTTCACTTGCAGCCCCGCTCCATCACACCTTGTGCCTTCAGCACGAGTACTCCGGTACCATCGGCAAGTGTGTCCACCCGCTTCCTTCAGCAGATGCTCCTGTACATCCCGGTAGAATCTGGTACATGTACAACCTGGCGCGCTACGTTCCCCTGTCCCCCAAACTCGGTGAGCGGTTGCATCAATCGAGGTGCGTCCGGCCCCAGGACCGACGCGCTCCGTACTGCACGGTATGCGAAGTGGTGCGATGGCTCACTGGGCCCTACCACCTCTGAGAGAGCTTGCGGGGACACGAGGGGTACAGATACCTCGAGCGAGCCTGCTGTCTTGTGCTCGCCACGGCGGCACATATACTAAAATTGGATCGATACAGAGAAGATTAGCATGGCCCCTGCGAAAGGATGACACGCAAATCCGTGAAGCGCTCCATCTTTTTTGGTTGTGAAATTCGTGCTCCTCTACTCTGTCAGCCCTCGTGTGCTGAATAAACACAGGTCTCAGCGTGGGAGCGTTCCATTGTAAAATAACTCACCGTCTCCTTTGGTTTAGAGATGTTCACTTGCAGCCCCGCTCCATCACACCATGTGAAAAACTCATGAGAAGTACGAGGCCATCGTCAGACTCTGAGCTTGAGAGCAGGGAGAGGAGAACGGTGTCATCTGCGTATTTGGCAACGTGAAAATTAGCCGGAGAACTTCAACGCTCATTTGCAGAAAGTAAGAAGAGAATCCGTGACAGTGCACCACTTTGTGGAGATCCAAAGTGCATCCGGTAAGACTCCCTTTATCCTGACCCTTTGCTGCCCACCCCTTCTTTACTGCCACCTCTTCTTTCGAAAAGGTAGAGGCCACGCCTCCTTCAGCACGAGTACTCCGGTACCATCGGCAAGTGTGTCCACCTGCTTCCTTCAGCAGATGCTCCTGTACATCACGGTGGAATCGGGTACATGTGCAACCTGGCGCGCTACGTTCCCCTGTCCCCCAAACTCGGTGAGCGGTTGCAGGGGGGCGCATGCGCATGCAGCGACCGGCAGTGAATGAGAGTTTGGCGTCCTGTTTTATGTGGTTTTATTCATTTTAAACGTTTTATTGTCCTGTATTGTCTTAACTACATGAATAAGCGATTCTAGATTTAGTTGGAAAATGGATTTATCCTATTTTGTCACGCTGGGACTTCTTTTGTATCTGTTGTTTGCATGCAACATCCGTGGGACTGTATGCCAGGTGAGGACACAGTATTCCAGAGATATGTTACTGCAGCTAAACCTCGCTAGTTTGGCTCAGGGAATGTATTTTACACCGGAGTTACCGAACTTTATTCTGAGAGATTCTCATGGACCGAGGAGTGTGGAAAAGAAGAGGAGGAAGAGGGGTAAACGAGGTGGAGTTAGATTACGCCTGAGGAAGCAGCGGCTCACCCGGGTTCCTCTGCCCTCGGTTATTATGGGAAACGTTCAGTCTTTGAGGAATAAAGTGGATGAACTTCAGGGAAATGCTCGTTACAGCAGGATTTTAGGAACTGCTGCATTATGGCATTTACTGAAACGTGGCTCACTGAGCTTGACCGGGACATCGACTTATCCATTGATGGATTTGGAGCTCCTTTTCGTTTGGATCAGCTGGCAGAGGTAACGTGGAAAACTCAAGGAGGCGGGGTATGTCTATATGTCAACAAACGATATTGTACCTCTGTGACTGTCAGAGAGCGTGTTTGTATGCCAGATGTGGAACGTTTAGCGGTTTCACTTCATCCTTTCTATTTACCCCGTGAGTTTCCTCAACTTTTCATGACAACAGTGTACATTCATCCAAAGGCGGATTCTGTCTCTGCCTCCAGTACTATATTTGATGTAGTATAGAGATTGCAGTCGATCTCACCGGATGCACCTAACTTTGTTCTTGGCGATTTTAACCATGTTTCTCTTAAACAGACACTCAAAACCTTTCAGCAATATGTCTCCTGTCCAACCAGACGGGGTAAGACATTAGATCTCTGTTATGGGTCAGTAAAGGATGCTTATAAATCTCTCAATTATCAGACAAAGATGAACAGCTTGATCTGGGAGAAGGAGATCTCATTTCAGACATAGTGTCTTCATTCTCTCTTTTCTCATGGAGGCTCATTTTGGTAGCACTGCCTTCCTGCTCTTGTGTCTCAAAAAGTATGACTTCAGACCTTTGTGGAAACACAACAATGCAAAAAGTTAAATAGACAGATAAGCATAATTAAATACAGACTAGCAGCTTTGCATGTTCACCTGTGAAGTGAAGTTTTGTGTAGGATAATGATTCTGTACTGCACAATAAAATATGTTTTGAGCTTTTACTCAAATCAACTCACTCAATTCAGTGCGTTCTGAGACTGCACACAGACAAAGCTAACTAAAAACCCCTAACTACTGGTCAACTCAAACTCAAAGTTAACTCAAAATCAGCATGTGCGAGGAACTTTACCATACACCATTTGCAGTGTGAATCCACAGAGAATATGTAGTCATTTTTGAAATATTAGTACAAATATTTTTTTTTATAATTTAGTATATTATTATAGAAGATATATATTATTAGATTATGTACAGTAGATACATATATAGTAGATTATATACAGTAGAT